CATTCATTCAGATCTTCTCCTTCAGGCAGCATGACGGCCATACGCAGGTTTCCACTGCCCAGAGTGGCTTCAGCGTGTTTGAGCAGCTCATACTGATGAGACCCTTCAGGAATATTCTTCTTCGGCTTAAACGTCTTAGACGAACGATTCCCGCTGGAGGACAGAAAAAAAAAATGCAATTAATGGATGTCCAAAGAGGCTATATGAAATACTTCCTAATCACGTGTGCATGTTATAATGTCACATTTTTGTACATATATACTTCTCATCTGGTTTTGCAATGCAAATCTTAAGACACTAGGCACGCCGTTCATCTGGTTCCAGTCAAAGGAAAATATATTTTTAGTGAGCCTCAAAAACAATACAACAGCAATGACACCGCACGTCTGTGCTTGCTCATAACTTCTCCTAAATCACATGCTTCCGGTGAAGCATCACAAGAGCGTTGCAATATTTTCCAAATTAAATCATCCTCAGCTGTTTTTGAGGAAGACTGGCTTTCTTATAACAAACTTCCCTAATGGTCCTAAACAGCCTTATCAGTCAATTTAATTTCAGACGCATCAAAACAAACAGGATTCTGGCATGACTTCAGAATCAGATCGAGAAGCGTCCTGCATTTAAAGGGATAGTTCACTCAAAATAAAGTAGTTTAAAAGACGGTCAAACTAGGGCCGAGCAATATGGCAAAAATGCTATCTCAATTCATTCTTTTCCATACTGAACAATAGTAATATACATTTCAATATCAGTTACTAATACTTCCAGATGTAAAAGAGTATCCCAACAATCACTGAAGCCGCAAAAATATGAGGGTTCATTAAATAGCGTAACCTATTTTAGGTGGCCAAAAATATTTGTCTCTTATATCAACACACTTTTAGATTCCCATTGTTGCACGTTTCTGCTGTGCGATTGGCTCTTAGACTAATATAGACTAAAAAAGTCCAGAGCTTATCATTGTTGTTGACATAAATTGTATTGTGATATGATGAGATTGTTTATCAGCCCAGCCCTCTGTTAAACACGAAAGAAGAAATTTGGAAGCAAGCTGAAAACCTGTAACCCTTGACTTTCAATACTATGGAGGTCGATGGTTACAGGTTTCCAATATCTTTCTAAGTATCTTCTTCTGTGCTTAACAAAAGAATAAAATTAATAAAGGTTTAAAATAAGTAAAGGGTGAGTAGATAATGACAGAATTTTGATTTTAGGGTGAACTATACCTTTAAGATTTCATCCAACAAAAAGAGTGCAAAGATTTTTCAAAGCTATGACAAAATAAAAGGCACTGGGTAACGTTGGTTTTATATTCACACATTTGGACTTTCCCCTCAATAATAGGCTATCTAAAATAGTGAAAAATATAATAATAAAATCATATTAGAAGCTAATGACTCTCAAAACGCATCAATGTTCAGTCAATAAATAGAGCTAATGTTGTTTTGAAGTCATACACTACAAAAAATGCTTTTCTTACTTCGATTTTTTATCTTGGTTCTAGTCCAAATATCTAAAAAGTTTTAAATCAAGAAGCATTTTCTATACAAGCAAATCATATTGTCTTGTTTTAAGAAATAATATGCCAAAATTAAGTAAGTGTAATAGAAATGGGGTAAGCAAAATAATATTACGTTAAAAGGAAAAACAAGATTATTTTTCTTCTTTTATGGAAAAACTTACTTAATTTTGGCATATTATTTCTTAAAACAAAACAATATGTTTTGCTAGTCTAGAAAATGCTTCTTGATTTAAGAACTTTTAGATATTTGCACTAGAAACCAGACAAAAAAAATCGAAATGAGAAAAATATCTTCTTTGCTAAACAAAATACTGAAATTCATAAAGGTTTAAAACTAATAAAGGGTGAGTAGATAATCACAGAATTTTGATTTTAGGGTGAACTGTCGCTTTAAGATTTCCTCAAACAAAAAGATGGACACGTTCTTTAAAGCTATTACAAAATAAAAGGCATATGGGGTAAAGTTGGTTTTATAGTCGCACATTTGGACTTTCTCCTTAATGTAAAAAATATTAGTGAAATGTTAACTAATAAAATCATATTAGCAGCTAATGACTTTCAAAGTGCATCAATGTTCAGTCAATTAAATAGTGCTAATGTTGTTTTGAAGTCATACTTTCATGCGATATCAGACCTAAACATTTAAAGTAGCGTAATACACAATATAGAGACCGTCTCACGAGTTGTCACTGTACAAAAATGAATATGCGCAAATAAAACCAACTTTACCTCATTAAAAACAGCACATTCATCCCCTTGCTCCAAAACTGATATGATTAACGCTGAATTGAATTAAACAGCATTTTTGTAGGTTAAATCATTAAGCTTCTTGTCTATACATTCATATGACAGTAGCAAGACTGTCTGCTACCTGAATACACATCACAAAGTCTATTTAGAGAGGATCTTTTCTTACTTTGAATGTAAAGTGACACACAACGTGCTTTATAAACGGCACAGTGTGAAACAAACATGAATTACATAAGATGTGCCCCCCTTCCAGCCCAGCAATTCAACAGAGCCAAGAAAACGGGTGCAAATGTGCGAGATATGAGCTAATCCCTATGCTGAAGCACTACTATGCAAAATATGATTACTATAACTGAACTGTCAGGCTGAAATACTGGCACATTTGACGACCAGCAAGCGCACAACTGAAGTCAATTCGGTGCGAAAACTCAAATAGCTCTTTAGCAAGACGAGCTAGAGGACTACGCTGATGTTAATATATATAGTATTACTACTGTTGTTTAAATCTGACGGCCAAACTCACAATAAGAAGCTCATTTTCTGCTGTCCGCTGGTCCCTGTCCGAGGTTCGGCTTCGTGCACTGCTGAGACACCTGGCAACAAACTTCCCACAGCCGCTGTGGATCGGCTAATGTGTTTTGTAGATCTGTAAATCACGTCACACTGGAGGGTAAACCGGGTGAGAAATGACATCTGTTTTGGAGATCGGTGTTAACGCCGATCTCAACATCTCGCGATAGTTCGTTGTCGCCGACGTCAGCTTTTCTTTTCCGATTGTGATTTTTTCTTTCATTATACAATTTGTTTTACTTTTAATGCTAACCTGAAAACATTACTTATATTTAATTTAGCCAAATATCTTTAATAATACATAAAATCAAAGATATACACGTTTTGTTTATATTATGCTGCATATAGTGCTTTTCTCCTCTGAAAGAAGAACACTTTGCAACAAAATATACAACCAAACTTGTATAAGTATTATTTTCATGTTGACGAATTAAATTAGGTTACATTTAGACAAAAAATAAACTCTATAATGCATAATATCCTTGTTTTAATTTCAGGTCAAATGTCTACATTTAATTTACACAAATATATACATCTCTGTATACTTCTATGTAAAGTTTTTAGCCTCTTTAGATATTCTGGTTCAATTAATAATAAAATTACTTGTTTTGAAAGTGTTAGTCATTACATACATAAGTATAATAGCATTAGTACTAATCATTAGTAGCATTATAAGACTGATGTGACGACCTTAAGGTTCCAGTTTGGATGCAGATTGGATACCTGCTTGATTACCAGTTGATTTATTCACTCATTCATTCATTTTCTCTTCAGCTTAACCCCTTTATCAATCCGGGGTCACCAACTTATCCAGCACATGTTTTATGCAGCGGATGCCCTTCCAGCTGCAACCCATTTCTAGGAAACATCCACACACACTCACACAAATATGGACAATTAAGCTTACCCAATTCAACTTTACTTTTGTCTTTTGGACTTGGAGGACACTCACGCAAACATGGGGAGAACATGCAAACTCCACACAGAAATGCCAACTGACCCAGTCAAGGCTCGAACCAGCAACCTTCTTGCTGTGAGGCGACACTCCCTACTTCCTCCAGTTGATTTAATGGATATAAATAAGAGTGTTAAGCCAGCTTCTGCAGGAAAGTGTGGCTTTTTAAATGTCCTCGTGTCCAGACCATCTCTTTAATTCTGTAACCTTATGATTTCAATATGCATTATTTATATCATGTATAAAGTAAATTTTGATTATATCTTAAGTTCTTTATTTATCCCAAGACATTTGTTGGTTTGCTTGATTTGTTGTTCTATTAGTTATATTTATAATAAATGAGTTGCATATATTATTTCGTTGTCTGAGCTCTTTTATGTTGCGACTCAAACGAGGGGGTCGTAACACTGAAAAATGCATTTAAGCTGTAAAACAAATATGTAAACCAGTGTTATGTTAATAGCAATGGGTAACTATTAGAATTATTACTAATAATTTGAAGTAGTTTAGATTTTTATTCCTTATACTTTCATTTTAAACTTACCTAAAATTAAAATTAGTTTGTTATTTTTAGTATTTTGTTTTCTTTCAATATATGTCTTTATATATTTGTTTTCTATCTTATTTACTATTATATTTAGGTTAAAATAAATATTTCCAAAATACATCTAAGAAATACATAGTCTATATTTAATTTTTGTTGCCTTTTAGGCATTTTGTTTTTCTTGATAGTCAGTTCTATCAATAATAATAATAACAACAACAACAAAAATTCTTAGAACTGTCTATCTGTAAACTGGGTGTTAATTAAACTAATTAAGTGTCTAATTATTATTATTATTACTACTATTATTATTATTATTATTGTTAAATAAATGTTATTTTTAAATCAAAGAGGAACTAGGCTACTGTAGTCTTTTTTACTAGCTTCAGCTAAAAGCAATTTTTATTATTAGTGTACTCAGTGTTTTATTTCTATATTTTCTTAATTAAAGTTATTTTATTTATAGATAGATAGATAGATAGATAGATAGATAGATAGATAGATAGATAGATAGATAGATAGATACCGTTTCTTTCTTTTCCATTTTCAAATTATTTAGTTTTTATGTTTATGTTTCTTGTTTTCGCTCCACTGCGCAAACTCTGTTGGAAATGATGCCCCTGAAGCGCCTTTTGTGCAGTGACGCATTATTGGCTCCGCCCACAATGCAACGCAGACAAGGGAACCTCCAAGAAAGAGCCGCGGAGCAAAAGCTCTAGTAAATGAACCTGACGCTTTAAGGATTATTTAACTCTGAGGACAACGATTCAGAAAACCATCTGAACTCGACATTTTTACAAATACACGCTTTTCTGACAGGTTTGGAGTATATCTGGATGTGTAACGTTAGCTGTCTTCTGCCTCTATAACACCATAATAACAGCAGCGGCGTCAGGTAAATAACGGCGCGTTATTCTCCTCACAGCGATATTTTCAACCATTTTTTACTTTAAAGGACCGATTTCTCGCTCATATTTTAAAGTCCCGGTTCTTTTATAACTTTATTCCGCAATTAGTTTATTTGCCTGACACTACAGTCAGCTGTAGTTTCCAGCTATTGTCCTTTTCTTGGAAACAGCGACTCCTCAGGCCGCCACTGGTACTGCAGGTGCCGCTGTGCTGTAAGTGAGACACTGGGAGCCTGAATAATTCAACAGTGGAAAATGAGCACAGAAGAGGCTGAAGCACCAACCAAAACTGCCACAGATGAGGATGGCATGTCCTGGTGGTACCGCTGGATCTGCAAACTGGCCGGTGTGCTAGGTGGCATATGTAAGTATCACACAGGTTTAATGCACCAGAGTAAAGGTGTTTCCTGTCCAGTATCTTCTTATACAGTACTTCCCAACCCTGTTCCTGAAGAAACACCAACAGTACACATTTTCAACTTCTTCCTAATCAAACACACCTGAATCAACTCATCAGAACATTAGAGAAGACCCCAAAACCTGAAATACCAACAATCAAAATATGTACTGTTGGTGTGCCTCTTGGAACAGGGTTGGGAAAAACTGGTCTAATAAACAGGTGTGTGTGTGTGTGTCCAAAATCTTCCTAAAAATGATCCCGTGTCACACACACACACACCCTGCTGCACAATGACATGACTCCTAATGGCTTCTCTTTATAAATTAAGGTATGTCAATATAAGAAAAGATAAAGAATCATGGTGTGCTCAGTGACATCACTTCCTTAGAGGTTTTCAGTCTTTGAAATGCCCCAATCCTAAAATCGATATATTATCATGTATGATAAACAAAATTGTGTAAAAATAGTTTTCGTTAAAATAAATATTTACGAAGAAACGCACTGAAAAACTTGCAGAATTCGCAAACAGAATAAAACAATATTTTCTTGTAAAAGGTTATTCGTTGATCTATTTACAACTAAGTGTTGTTTATTGCTGCTCAGTAACTAAATACTTAAACAAAAAATAATAATAAAAAACAAACAGTTGGCTAAACTTTGTTTTGATGCAACAGTTTCACTTTGTGCAACAGAAATGTGGTGATTAGAAACCTTTACGATTAATTAACCGTGACAAATTAAAATGCGGTTAATGGTGAAATCGTTCAATCGTTGCATCCCTAATATAAAGAACCAATTTATACTTAGAAATATGTATTTAATAAATTTGTTACAATTCATAACAAATTGTCTTCACTTATGCAAGACTGCAATATTTAAAAAATATATATATTTAATAAATATTAATATATAACTGTTTAAAAAATTATATAAACTATTTGAATATAATCAAATATTTATTTGTGTAGTCATTGTAGTACCATAATATATATATTTGTTTTTGTTTAAATATACAAACTAAAATAAATAATTAAACACAAATACTAAAATACAAATAAATAAATTCATATTTAATTACATAATTACGATAGAATATTAAATTTTAAATTATTTTGTTCTCGTTACCGCATTGTTATATTTACTTTAAAAAAGTATAATATGTAATAATATGCTAATTATATATTCATATTTATGTCACAATATTTGTAATCACTTATATTTATTTTTTATTTATATATGCATTTATATACATATTCACATACAATAAATATATAAATATAAGTCAGTATACTATATATATATATATATATATATATATATATATATATATATATATATATATATATATATAATAAAATTATTTTATTTGTTATTTAGGATTTTTTATATTTTTATTAACCACACTAACCAACTATTTTGTACTATTTTTTAAAAATTATTTTTAAGATAAATATACATATATATATATATATATATATATATATATATATATATATATATATATATATATATATATATATATATATATATATATATATATATATATATTTGATGATAGGCGAAATAAGGCGACGTGGTGGCGCAGTAGGTAGTGCTATCGCCTCACAGCAAGGAGGTCGTTGATTCAAGCCTTGGCTGGGTCAACTGCCATTTCTGTGTGGAGTTTGCATGTTCTCCCCGCGTTCGCGTGGGTTTCCTCCGGGTGCGCCGGTTTCCCCTTCAAGTCCTAAGACATGCAGTACAGGTGAATTGGGTAAGCTGAAATTGTCCATATTGTCCATTGTTTTATTCAATTTAAATTAATTAAATGTTGTTATTTTTGTAAATTTGTTTTGTTATTTAATTTAATTTAATCCAATCCTTTCATACACACTCCTTGACCCCAGTTGAAAATACCCTGTTGTACTCAATATTATAACATAGGTAAACAACACAGGTATTATCAACCACAATATCATTTAAAGCAGCATATACCCATATACCATATTATTTTGAGATGAAAATGAACCAAAGCTATCAATCTAATCAATATTTCGAACAAAGAGCTCTGTGATCTGCCAGAATGTTTCATCAATCGCACTTTCACACAACGACTCCCTTAGAAAACAGCACCATATATTTATGCTGCCATAGGAACACTACTGTAATGAATATGGTAATCTGTCAGTGTCAGAAAAAAAGACCACATGCAGCAACATGAATATCAATCATTATATACAGTATTGTGTTTAATGGGATGGTGTTTGATGTGTTGTGGTTATCAAGAGCTCTTTTTTGTGTGACACTGTCATGGTAACACAGGTTTCATAGCAACGGCAACTTTCTCTGCTCTTGCTTTTCCTTTTCTCCTGCCATCTCTTTTGTTATGGACCGCTATGTGTTATAAACTAATACAATATCTCTCACTCTGGTGCAGGAGCTATATTATTATTTTTTTTTAATTCTGTACAAACATATAAAAGTGTAGATATATAATAAATGTCAACAATAGCAATACAAAAAAAACAAATTTATTGAATGTTTCAGTTTGATTTAGGTTTTCAAAATTAGTTATTGCGAGAAAAACTTGTTTTAAAATTGTCTATTATTTTTTGTAATGTATTTTTAAAGTTTTTTATTATTATTATCTTTTATTTATTATTATTTTATTAATTTAATAACACGGTGGCTGAGTGGTTAGCACTGTCACTTCACAGCAAGAAGGTTGCTGGTTCGAGTCCCGGCTGGACCAGTTGGCATTTCTGTGTAGAGTTTGCATGTTCTCCCCGTGTTGGTGTGGGTTTCCTCCGGGTGCTCCGGTTTCCCCGACGATCCAAACATGCTCTATAGATAATATATGGCTGTTGTGTGTGTGTGTATGAATGTTTCTCAGTACTGGGTTGCAGCTGAAAGGGCATCCACTACATAAAACATATGCTGGATAAGTTGGCGGTTCATTCCTCTGTGGTCACCCCTGATAAATAAGGAACTAAGCCGAAGGAAAATGAATGAATGAATATTACAAATTATTTATTTATTGTTTGTGATTGTAAACATTTTAAGTAAATGTTATGTGTATACTAAGTTTATAATGCACATATGTATGTTTTAACTATGTAAGTTAAAAGCGTGTATGACAATTTTAAAATACTCAAATTAATACATTTAAAAATAAAAAAACTACAATTAACTAAATTAAAGTAACTAAAAAAAAAGAATAAATATTACTCTAATAATTAAATAATTATATATTTAGATTTATTTTAATTTAGTTTGATTTAAAATCTTGTAGCACATCATATTAAAATGCCTAAATAAATAAACAAAAATAAGTAGCTATAACTAATTAAATAAAAGTAACTAAGTAAACTAACAAAAAATATTTAATACATTTTTTTTGTTATTTTGATTTTATTCTATATTAAAATTAAAGTTGTATGACAATAATTAGAAAATGCCTAAATAAATAAACAAAAAATTTAGTTAATATAACAAACTAAATAAAAGTAAATAAAAATTTAAGTTTACAAAAAAAATATTTAAGAAAAAAAAAAAGCATTTCATTCTCATTTTATTCACTACAATATAAGTATTTAGTCCGTGTTGTTGTGGGTTTCCTCCTGGTGCTCCGGTTTCCCCCACAGTCCAAACACATGTGCTATAGGTGAATTGAATAAACTAAATTGGCTGCAGTTTATGTGTTTGAATGAGTGTGTATGGATGTTTCCCAGTACTGGGTTGCAGCTGGAAGAGGATTCGCTGTGTAAAACATAAGCTGGATAAGTTTGCGGTTCACTCCGCTGTGGCGACCCCTGATAAATAAGGGACCAAGCTGAAGGAAAATTAATGAATAAAATCATTAATAAAAACATTTTTTTCAGTTTTTCTCTAATCTTTACCTCAAAACGTTTCTTTTTGTCTGTCTCTTCTGACTTTTATATTGTATGGTTTTGCTGCAGGCGAGTGCACTTCTGTGCTATTCTATTCATACATTTAGACACAAAGACTGAACACACACAAGCACACACACACACAGCTGGTACAACTGTGTGTGTGTATCAATAGTTGTCTGTTCTCTACATGCTGAGACAGATGACAGAAACAGCTGCTCATCAAAGCAACAAAAGCTTGTTCTCCAT